GATTTGACTCTAGAATATTTTGGTATAAAAAAGAATTCATGGTTGACCCTTCACATGCAAAGTACCCACATCCTGCAACTGCAAAACAAGCCAAAATCAGCACGCCTCCACCACTGGGCTTGATAGTTGGTGTGAGATGTTTGTGCTAATATTTCATGCTCGGTTTTCTTCAAATGTGGCCAATCATCTTCACTTTGGTCTCACCTGTCCAAAGGTTTGTGTTCTAGAAGTCTTTGTAGTTTGTTTAGATGCAAAGTTGCATCTAAACATGTTATTTTTAGAGAGAAAAGGCTTTTTGCTGTTAACACTTGCTAACATGCCATACTAGTTCAGTTTTTTTCTAATAGTGCTGTAACTGTAACATTTAACACACTAACTGAGGTCTGCAGTCTGAGACCAAGCTTTTGCGGTTGTTTGCAATTTTTCTGAGCGTTGCATGATCTGACCTTTTGGCAAATTTACAAATGTCCACACGCATTGCACAAAATGCTGTGGACACTTTTTTTTCACATATCTGTACTCTTTTGTGTATTCCCCTTAAACAGAGATGCCGAGGACAAACAAAGACAGAGTCAAAAAATGTGTTGCAAAATCTTGACAAGTAACTTGCTTTCGATTGATTACCAAGGATCATCTCAAAAACATCTTAAGAAACATCTCAAAGCTGCCCCAACTGTTTCTCAGAGTTTTAGAAAAAGGCGACTCAAATGATAAACTAAGGCTTAAAAATCCTTCCGCCTCTTACCCATCCCATAACCCATAAAGGACATTTTTTAAAGCTAAAGTCCTAAACTTAATGACTTATGATCTTATGATGGTTCTGTGTGTGTGTGTGTGTGTGTGTGTGTGTGTGTGTGTGTGTGTGTGTGTGTGTGTGTTAGTGAGAGAGATTTGGTATTGCAAGTGACCTAGCCTCAGTCAGTGGTGACACAGTTTGCTTAATATGACAGGCATAATAGAATTTTCCCAGCGTTTGGAAGTCTTCCCAAAAAGCTTTGTTCCTTTACCATGAAATTTACTTTGTGGCCATCGGCCTCTGGCTGTACAAGCCAGTGCGGTTTTCAGAAGCACATCACCTAAGGCAATGCATCTTTACTGTGTGTGTGTGTGTCCTCATGTGCATCTTTTGATACCTCTGTTGTGTTATATATTGCAATGATTGCAGGTTTAAAGCTTCTGGAGATTTCTCTACTTAACAGTCTCTGTTTTTTAATTAGCTCACTTGCCCACTGAAGACCTGTCAGTTTGTTTAGAAAAACTACAGTACATCCAAAAAGCAGCGTCCATAAATATCATAGCCTTGTGTATTGTTGTGCAAACGATGTGCAAGTAAACAGTTGCTGCTTGAGTTCACATTTGTGCTCCACTGTCAACATTTATCACTGCAAAAGTGACTCATTTGCTTGCAGGGTTTCCCAGCATCTTGGGTGTTACACAACACCACGGCCTCTGTCGGCCTCTCCATGCCCTTTTTTTTTTCGTGCACTTCACTCAGATAGAAGCAGAACCACAGCTGTGGGATGGAGCAGATTACAGAGGGATTGATGGGAGCAGAAAAAGGAGTCAACCTCCATCTAACCCTTGCTTTGGCCATAAAATGACCTCTGGAAAAAAACCAAAACAAATCCAAACATCAACAAAAGATTATCCCCCATCAGAGTTCCAATACACAGTTTTCCCTCTCAAACCAATTGACACAGATCTCAATACAGGGAGAGACAGAAACGTGACAGCAACGCACGAGTTTGAAGATGTATTCACAGGCTGATTTTTTATTTTGTTGTTGTGTGTCTAACCAGCAGCATGATGTCTGTCCTGATGCTGAGCTGCACCATAATGTATGTTACTGTGAGCTGGAATTTGATAAGGAAATGAATGCAATATTGATTTTAGTACACAAAAGCATGTGTTTGGAAAGTCTTCAAATGGTCACCAGGGCTTGATACCAACCCCTCACATATTTTCAGTGGGTAAGTTTTGTGGTTGTACGTTGTCAGAGCGTTTTTTCTGCGTCATCGTCTTTTTCAATCTGTGTCTTTTGCATTTTATTGTCAGAATTTGTCCCAGATTTGTGATCCGTGGTTTTATAAGTTCAAAGGTGATCTGTTCATTGTCTCCAAATAAACACGAGTCTGTTCAAATGTGGTATTAAACACTTCAGGGTCAGTGTGTGATTCTTGCAGCTTTTCTGCACATCTAGAAAAAAAAAAAATGAGTAGATGAAACCTCGCTATTGTTCTTGTGCGTGTGCATGCTCACTTTTGTGCCTGGGCAGTATTTCCCACAGGTCCTAACTTCTCAACCTCTCGAGCTGGTCTTTTGGTTGTCATGGCTTATACTCAGACTCCACAAATCCTGACGACACAATTGTGCTTTTCCACTGCACTTGTCAGGCCATGAACTCTGCTAGTACTCTGTGGTTCAAGGCTCCACTGCAAGTGCAGTCAGCACCTCTGTTGACATCACTTTTTTTTTAGGGATTGTGTAAAATGATGTCCGGGATGAAGCTTTGTGCTTGAAACATTGCACAACAAATAAAATCCTAATGTGCACGCTATCCGGTGTGCCGATCAATCTGCTGGATAAAATGTGTGTTTTTTTAAGTTGTGCTTTTTGTTATTCCTAACAATGAGCACTCATGTAGCACATAATGGACAGCGAGCCTTCTCTAAATGACAGTGACAGCGAGGGGAAATGAGTGTATGTTTGGTACTTTCCGATATCGACCTTCCCATCAATTATATATGTCCATTAGAATCAGACTTGTCATGTCACAGCTCCCCATGTCTCCTGAAATCCCACACTGATGTCAACAGAGACATCTTAATCAATGAAAGCCACACTATTGCACCTGGCAGATGGCTTTTAGTAAGTCCTATTTGGCTTGCCAGTCATTCTGAAAACTATTTAGCCACATACACATGCACTTCTTAATGTATGCACACAATAGCTTGCTCGCAGAGGCGTGCACCCACGCACACAGTAAACAGTTGCGTGCAAAGGTCTGCCCCAGCAGCGCTGCCAGAGCTCTAAGCCTGGGCTAATCTGGAAGGCAGCTTGGATAGTGGTGCCAGCGGATTTGCATTGATATCAAAGCTCCCTGTAGCTTTAATGGTAGCCACCGACAATGTTTACAGGACCTTAAGATCTCTTTAGATCCCCAACTACAACTGTCACAACAAATAAAACGCCTCCCCTGATGGACACTTTCATACAACAGCACGCTAAACAAGCATTTGCTCTGTCTGTCATGCAGTCTGACTCTATGTGTACTTTGAATTATAGAAGACAAAGAGATAGCAAAAAGTGTGTCAATATGGTGTTTGGCAACCAGTTGTCACCTGAATAGCTTAAATGCAGCTTAGTATTGCGTCTCCAAGTGTCTTGAACTCTACTAGAAGGATGGGGGAGCAGTTTTCTATCAGATATTCCCTAAGTGGGTGTTTTGATGATGGTGTTGAAGAGGGCAGGGAGTCCACAATCTCCTACAGGTGTTTATCTGGGTTGAGAAACATAATTTTCATAGTGATCAAACCATTCAGTGAGCCCTCATGTCTTTGCCCTTTATGGTTCATTATAGGATAAGAAAAAAGGGTAACTGTGTCTCCTTCACTGTAGGATACAAGGGTTGTTTTTCTTTTTAACTTTTGTTACCCATCTCATATATTCCACAGCAATCTGGAGACTAGGAAAACGACTGACAAATGTATCTTGTCATGTCAGCCCTCAAGCCCGAGGCCACCACTGTCCTTGGTTGCTGTTTTACACACTGCATACATTAGTTGTGACATTACCGAGGACCAGTGGTGATTAAACAGTGATTTACTCTGCTCTCATCCTGTTGCCAAAACGCTCACTGGGCTGCTGTACGCTGTCAGACGGCTTCATTAGCTCAGATTAAAGCTTTAGTTAGACAAACATTACTCAAAGCCTTTCAGAAGTAATCCTATTGGGTGACATAAACCCTGGTAGGTTGGGCCACACCACATCATCACATCTTGTCTATGTGGCTCCAGAGTATCTTGGTATGTTTATAGTGCAGTTAATATATTTCTGTTTAAACGCCACGTGTCCCTTTTCTTTTTTTTTCTCTCTTCCCATTGCTAAATTGAGTTTTCTAATGGGAGCTGTCCCATCAACACTGGAGGAAAGTGACTTCACATAATGTCTGGGGTATGTGGCACATCACAGCTGAAGGTTTTCCCTTGCACTATGTCATCTTTCTTAAAAGAACTGTGTTGTGGTGGAATTTGGCTTGCATGGTTTACTACACACTAATACACACTGAGCTACTGTGCTTTTCAGTTTGCTGTGCATGCTTTGTACACTAGGGTGCGGCAGAGTAGACCAACTACGTGTGTGTGTTTAGTGAGTGTGATGCGTTTCAGTGACAACAGATTGAGGCAGTATACTTATTAGGGTACAGTTTCACAAACAACGATTAATCAGTGAATACATTAATACATTCATCAAGTACGTTTGAAACATGTTCATTGCGATATTTGACAGGACATCGTCAATAATGCAAAATATGATCGAGAGGGGGATTCTGCAGCAACAAATCCTTGCAAACTCTGCTTTGCCTGCCTCGTTTTGTAAGCATTGTGCGGGTAGTGATAGTTTTATAGCCCACAAATAATATAGCTCAAATGAAAAATATGATTTTCTTTATTTTGGAAACCATCTTTCACTGTAAGCCTTGCTTTCTTATGTATTTCTTTTTAACTTAAAATAAACAATAATTATATCCAATTGACATATAAACGCGGATCATAAATCCGACAGGTTGTTCAGATTTAAGCGTTTCCGGTTTAAAACAAAGACCACATTTACTCGAAATTTTCCATTACTTAAAACAGACTGAATATGAATCGACGATCTTGCTTAAAATCCTCTCACTAGCTTCGGCTTTAAGTCCAGAGATTGTACAAGCGAAATCCAGCGGATCAGTCGTTACTTTTATTTTGACAACGCATTCGCCTAATTTCCGGTGTAAGCATGGCGTCTGTCGGTCTGTAAAAACTTGACGCAGCGGCTAAACCGGTCCCGCAGAGCCCGTTTCTGGAAGCTGCATCCGCTAATTTAGTAAGAAAAGGCTTAGTCCAGTCCAGCGCACATTACACTTGAATATTTTGGTTTCTTTGCAAAATGTGTACGTCTCCTTTAGCCCTTAGTTAGCTAAATCCCTCCGATCTCCGAGCGCCCTCACCCACCATCAGCGTCGGTTTTAAGGGGCAGATTTGTGCCTCCTCTGCCCTTCGCGTGCGACCCCTCCCCTCTCTACTACTCTCCGGTCGGGTTGGGCTAATGGTGCATTTGAGTACTCTTCGTAAATTTGCTAATATATCACGAGTTTCGAATAACTGTGCTAAAAACCACGTACATTAAAACAAATATAGCACCACCACAATGTAGACATTAGCTATTATCTCTAGTGATTTTATGAAACCGAACAGAAGCTCTGTTCTGCAGAATACAGAAAAAATTCCTATAGACACGTAACTTTTCATGCTCCTTTCAAGTCTTGAAAGTAGCCCGCATGTATAACTAAAAAATGAATAATAATCAGCTATTATTCATCCATAATTAATTACTCAATTACGAAAAAACCGCCATGTTAAAATACATAAACAAAACAAGTTGTTTGCCAAATTCAGACAGGGCCTGAATGCAACATAAGCCTAGTGTGTGTGCGCTCGCGCCGTGTTTGTGAGGCAGAGAGTTGCGTGCGAAGAGCTCGACATGTCATTCAGAGGAATCCGCCACCTGAAACGCGAGGAAGTGAAGGCGACTCAATTGGGTATAAAGCATCAGCCAACATCTGCCCCGAGCAGTGCAAAGCTGATGAAAACATCAGCTCGGAGCTCATACAGGACCACTCAGATTTATTTGATTTCCCCTGGATTTATCGCTGGGAGTCGGTGCACCCTGGGAGACGCATCTCTTTTCAGCACTTAAAGTGAATGTGACTCCACAGCCAACACTATACTGGAATTAACAGAAAGCCGCAGATATCTCAGGTCAGTGCTCGCATTTGTGGCGCTTTTTTGTCATTTTAAATTTCCAGTTTCTTTATTTAATTTTCTTCTGATTTTAAGCATTCAGCATGTCTTCTGCAGTTTTGCATACAGGCTATCCAAGTTGCACCAGCGTGCTCTACTTATTTATTTTACTTTTTTTTGTATTTTATTATTGTTTAATTTGTTTTATTCATTTAGATGTTTGCTATTTTTTTAAATCACTATCGAGTAATAATAAAAATATTAAACCTATTTTGCTATTTTCCTAATATTTTTTTCTTTAAAGCACTTTAGGCTGTTTTAAGTGGATTGTTGTATTTACTTTTAGGGATGCTGGTATTTCCTGCGTATTTATTCCAAACTGAGGACTTTTCAGTGACATATAACTGCGAGTGTGTATATATTTGAATGCACTCTCCCTTCCAGCGTGGGTCAGGGTACTTTCTCCAGCCTCACGTAAAGTTATTCTGTGTCCTCCGCAGCGCACCTGTTACCTCCACGGAGCGCGAGATCATGATCCCTCCTGGAGACTGCATGTATGCGGGCAGAAAGAGGAGGAAGCCCATCCAGAAACAGTTAAGGAGCGCTCTTCAGTATTTATTTTTTATGTGTTCACATCTGTTCAGTCATTGTTTCCTGAGGCTGCACACTTTTGTTGGTTCAAAATAAACTTCTTCTCTCTGCCCTGTGATTCTAGGTTATAATGAATGACAGGAAGTAATTGAGGTTCTAGCATGAAGGTGTGAAAATAATAGCACAAGTTGGTATGGGTTTTAATAGAAGACTTCACATCTATCACAACTTTCATTTAACACTGCTGTCAGCAGATCTGGTGCAGATCCTGCTTTAAAGTTAATTAATTAGAATTTGACTGCCCTCTGTGAGCTGTCCAAAGTTTCCTACAGACTTGTTTCCAAATACGCACAAATGGGGCTGATTGATCAATGATTAAAATTAATTAAATTTTTTCAGGTTCTTTTTTTTTTTTAATCCTTGCATGTCCTTTTCAAAATAGTTTTAATGCAGTCACAGGAGTCACAGTATCATTCGTTTGGTACTGCTTTAAATGTCCACGGCTTTTAATGCCAGGATACTTTTTGTTGGACAGTTATGTCAGCTGATGTCATGAGCAGTGGCTGACAAGTTGTATAAGATTTTGAAGAGGGAAGTGGTAATTTAACGAGGCCGGTAGCGTTTTTGACAGAGCTGCTAATACAAGGGGGAAATCTTTGCCACGTCAAACTGAGCCTGCTAATTCTGCCATTAGAGTCTTGAGGATTTAGAGTTATAGTTAAACGGAAGTTTTAATTATTATTTAAAACTGAATTTGTGCAACTTAAAGTTTGTCTAAGTAACAGGCGATTTAAACTGTAGTCTAGACCACACCGTGACTTTTAAACATATTTCTTTATGCACTTTTTTACTGGCAACAAGTGGAAAATATATTCGACCGTTAATGTAAACGTCTCGGCGTGGCGTGAGCTGAAAAGTTTAAACTCTCAGCTGTGGAAATCAGAGCTGACCGTCGCGTATGTGGATCGTGTTAAGGTCAGCTGGTAAAGCCGTGGTACACCGTACTAACGTTCACAAATAACTAGGAGAGTTTTATGCTCTCAGGGAAAGATCGTGCCGTCTGTGCGGTACCTCTAATATCACATCTCTTTAATGCAAAGCTACAAAGCTACAGAAAACGCTTGATATCAGAAAAATGCCCAAATCGCTTCCTTTTATCCGGTGGTGAATGCACACATCTTTTTTTTTTCTTCTTTTTTTTAAAGGGAAGCAGAGATGATTGATGTGCATGCTGTGTTGTTGAAGGCTGAGTCAAAAGGAACTATGGTTTTAAAGAAAAACGGACTCGTACACTGTGTGGTTCATCTGGTCATGTGTCTGTCCTTGGCTTGCAAGTTGCCATGCTTGCCATACGTAAACAAGGCAAAACACCATCCTATTGTTTGTGTCATCAAAATGAGGAACAGCTATTTAGCAAAAAAAACCAATAGGTATCTATTTCAAAAAAGTCCTCAAACAGTGAGTCAGTAATCACTTTACTGTAACCTCAGAGAGTCTGACACTGTGTTGATATGAGTGTGTTTTGGCGTTTTTGCGGTATAGCGTGTTAAAAACTGGCTTGTTGCCACACTTCATACTTCATATATTACTGATACAATCAACAAGTGTGTGTGCGCTCTGTAAAAACGGCCTGCATCATGTCGTTTCCACCGTCTTTGCTTTCACCAATAGCGTAGCTCCAACAAGGGAAGTTAAACAAACTTAATCCTCTTCTTTGTGCTGCTGCTGTCGCTTTTGGGGAGTGTTGCGCACGCACGCACGCACACACACACACACACACTCCGATGTCCTCTCAGACCCGGGATCTGTCTTTACCTTATATCCGTCTCATCATCAGGAAGCCATCCTCTGCCAATGAGAAAACCAACCCATCCAAGCGGCACCGGGACAGGCTGAATGCTGAACTGGACCGCCTGGCCAGCCTGCTGCCATTCCCCCCAGATGTCATCTCCAAGCTGGACAAGCTGTCAGTGCTCCGTCTTGCTGTTTCCTACCTCCGCGTCAAGAGTTTCTTCCAAGGTAAAGGAGGTACAAAAGGCGGCATTGTTGCAGTAGTGGTTTAGGTATTTTGCTTATGTGGAAGTGTGTGGCTTTGAGTTAGCTGGAAGCTCCTGAGTGGATGTGGGTCAGGCCAATAAATAGCTTTAAATTTTCTTTTTTGTTTTGTTTTGTTTTGTTTTTTTGCATATGAACATAGAGGCCTCTGTTGTCCACTTCTGATTCAGTTACCTGGACATTATTGGAGTGAAGCGGAAGGTTGTGACCTATTCACTTTCACTATGCAAACACAGAAATAGTGGTAACAGAACTATAGGTAGTAATGTCTTCCTTTCAGCAGATGGAAAGAATGCATAGTGTTTTGCAACACTTTGACATGTAAATTGTAATTTCAAAGGCTTTAAATGTCAGAATACTGAGCTAAAAAAAAAAGTGTGTTGGAATAACCTGTGCACTCTTTCTGTCGGCCTCAGGAGTGAGATTCCCCAAGGCTCCGTAGCAAAAACGTAGATAAGAAGATCTGTGCATGTTGCCATTACACTTCAGATTACAGTGATTTACGATGTGAAAATGCTTTCTAGATACGAGGAACCGCAAATAACTATTATGACCTTTATCTCTTTTAAACGCATGTAATTAGAAGGCATTTTGAGTTTTCCCACCCTCCCACTGTCAACTGAATGCCTCCCGTCCTCTCCTCGTGTTCCTCCACGATTTGCTTCAAATATTTATGCGCTGCTTTAGAAAGTATTTTGTTGCCAGTGGCCTTGGCAGCTGCCTTATCAACACAGCGGTTACTGGCACAGCTGGATGTGACAGGCCTAGAAACAAGAGGCACTTTTTTATTATTACAAAAAACGAGCACTCTTGCAAGGAGAAAAAGCATTAGTAGGATAAAAGGGAAAGGCAGGGCAGTGAAGAAGAAGCAGCAGCGGAGCTCCCGTGAGGTTCACTACCTAGCCTGCCCTCGGGGCTGAAAGAAAATTCTCACTGAAAGCTCTCTTCTTCGAGGAGACGGCAGATGAATTTGTGAGGCTCTGGTGTCCTCAAAGTTTTGCAGCTAGTCTTTAATCTTCTCCTCCTCCTCCTGATCCTCCTCTGACGCTTAACCTCCATCATTTGTTGCCTTATTCAGCTTAGCCACCACACAAAGTTGGCAGGCAGGTGCTCAATGGAGTTATTAAAGGGGCACTTCGCAGATCAGGGCTCACGCAGAGATAAAGACCACAACCAGAGTGATACCGAGGACTGTCGATGCCATCTGAGAGCTGCAAAGATAAGGAGACGGTTCAGTTCAGTCATGTGTGGAGGCTGGTGCAAGTGTTGAAAGGTGTGCAGAAGCCGTTGCTTGAGTGGCAACGCTGCTGGGTGAAAACTACCCTCACAGGGGGAGTTTTCTTGAATATATCTGTGCAGGGTTTTTTTTAAGCATTACAAAAAAGGTAAATGTGGAAAAGATCATTTAAGATCCTTTATTCTGAACTCTTTGAAGATGCGTTCAGGCCAAAGCTTCTGTCTGTTTACCCCACCTCTGCTGGGTGCCTTGTTATCAGTGGCAGTTGTGACCGGCTTATCTGTCTTTTGATGCTCGGGTAATGAGATTAATTAGTGCGATTTGAGTCGGTATACATGTGGCATCTCTTGCCCTCCTTCATTTGATAAACTCGTTTGGGCTTTCCACTGATATTTACACATGGAGTGTTGATCAGAGCTTTTCCAGATAAATCTGGAGATGAACAAGTAAGTTTCCACATCCTTCCTGTGGTTTTCAGCGACCGTCATATTTGTCTGTTGCTTTTTTTCTTTCTTCATTTCAAAAGTGAGTCATTGAGACAAAAACACATTATGAAAGCATGAAACCAGCAACCTTAAGTTTCATTTGTTCTTATAACCACTTTTTCTGGGGGAAGCACAGACTTTTTAAGGTGCAGTTACTCTGAATTTCCACCGGAGGGACTGTGTGAAGCTGCTACTGAGCTGAGCTATGGCTGATATCCTTTTCAGTTTGTTCAGAAACAGCAGTGGATGTGAAATTTGACTACAGTTATACCATTTATCTTTGTAAAAGCATACGTTTATCAACTTGATCTGAGACTATTCAGGTATGTCAGGCAAGGTGTGCTGAAAGGTGCAGACAGGCAGGAGGAGAGGGAAACCGTGCAGCAGCAGGTGTTCTGGAAGCTCCCTGAGATTCTATGCTGGTTGTCTTTGTTGCGTGACAACTCGAAGGTGGAGCTCATTGAACAGTGTGTGGCCACGTAGTTCATGCAAATATACCCTAAGGGTGTGTGTGTGTGTGTGTGAGAGAGAGAATAAAAAGCTCGCCTGAATCATCATATTCCACTGGGATCAGAACTTCACCTGAAATTTAGATGATTTGTTTAAAGGCCCATCACTGAGATCACTACATGCACTATTTCATATGCATCTATAAACTAGCAAATAAATAAATAAAGAGTGAAAGTATTTTGCATACATAAACAATTTTCTTTGTCTGCTTGTAGGCAGATGCATGGCACAGGAACATTTTCACAAGCAGGCCTAACAAGGAAATGTTTTTACAGATAAGAAAATAAGGGACACTGTTAGAAATGTGACTTTAGAGTTGAAGCTACTGGCTAATGGAAACCACCACTGTGCAAGCATTTGCCCTTTAAAAATCTTTTTTTAAAGCAGGTTTGTTTTGTTGGTACTTTTACTGATTTATTTTACTCTCTTTGTGTCTGTGAAAGACACATTGTAAGTAAATATTACTTAATTGATTATTATAAACTTATAAAATGTACCCGTCTTCTGACATCCATGTGAAAACTGAAAACTGGTGGCCTAGTTTCATTTTCTTTGTTAACGTTGAGTTCTGCTGCCACATTTTTCCCCGAGTCGAGACGGGACGCGGCAAAAAGTCATATTCTCCTCTTTCCATAAACCATTACTCTAGCAGTAAAGTTTGCCGAGCTAGTGAAAATGGCCCCAGAGGGGAAAACCTCTCCTTTAAAAATAACAAAAATAATAAGAATAAATAAATTTAAAAAAAGGAAAGAAAGTCATCAGTTTGTAGCCTACAGGCTGCGTGGAACTCTTTGTCCCATGTTTTTCATTTAAATTTGATTATAGGCCAGAGTAGGCTTTTTTTCCTGCCTTTTTAGGCAGATGTCCAATCAGGTAGGTCCGCATGAACGTATGTGAGAGCTGACAGTCAGCAGTTGTAATTCCGCTCTTTTCTATGTTAGGTCTCTGCCCTAGCTGTAATTGCTGAGCTTGTTAAATATTTACCCTTAGGATTAACTATCTCTCCTCATTTGTCTTTCTGGCCCGATTGCCTGTATTTCTCCTGCGGTGCATATGTATTTTACCCTGTTTGTGTGATTGTGTTTCTCATTATTTTAAAGTAGAATATTCTTCTTCTTTTTTTAAAATTTTTTAATAAGGTTGCTGCATTTTTTTCAGGGATTAGGTAATTAAAGGCAACTCTTAAAGGGAACATTCCCTTTTTGAATGATTGTAATGAGTGAGATGCTGGCAGGGGGTTGTATTTTTCTATATCAATGACATTAAAGGGATCCTGATAAAATAAAGCTGGATGAGGAGTCATCGCTTTGATTAATGATGTTCAATAACTTTTCTTTTTCCTTTATTACTCTTCACCCCCACTTTCCTCTGAGAAGATATGAATTGGATCTGCCTTTAATGAGAGTGGAAAGTCAACAGAGCTAGAGATAATAATAAACTGGGCAGCATCTTCTTTGCTAGTGCACATGCTGCCTCTCTAATAACTAGGGTTGAATGCGTTGCACTGTTATGGGTTTTATATCGGTTGATGTAATTCATAACAATGCACTAATACTAGCTGTTGGTACGACTTATATTTTAAAAATGTCAGGGATCATTATGCTCTGTTTGTGGTCTTTGTTTGCTTATAATGTGGTCACACGTTTGCAAGTTGGAGTGCAGCTTGTGGTTGAAATACTGTTGCAGCCACGTTCCACATCAGCGTGTCTCCGATCGAGCGGAACATTTTCAAACGTGAATTGTGTGAAGAAAAAAAACTGGAGTTTCAGTTGGTCCTGAAACTTCTCTTGGTGTTTTGTGCCTGCGAACAAGGCTCTAAGACCACCACACTTTCCCAGTAACCAAGAATAGACACCTGACTGTATCAGGAAGCGTTCTCCTAACCAGAGAACATGGCATTGAATAAATATGATCTTAAACCTTTTGCTACTGAACCTCTGTAAATAAACAGTTAATTATGTCACACTCGTTTCCTGCGTGCTATTATTTGCAGCCTTTTTCTGTACTCAGAGCTACCACGTAGACTATCAAACCTATATTAAATCTGTATGGATAATGCAGATATGTATCAGTTGTTAGTTAGTTAGACAGTTCTTCTGTGGTGTGAACAGGACAAAAAATGAACTTTTTGGGGCCAATATGTACTTTCGATGTAGCAGGGAAGTTGTTTGCACTTTAAAATATAATCACCGAATGATATCCAGTGTGCTTATAGGATTTTTGTGTGTGTGTGTTTTGTTTTTAAATCCATCTGCAATCCTGCCAAGGACATATTGCTTCATGCCTTCGTGCCTCATGCCGGCAATCAACTTTATGAAAAACAACTAAAACTATCACAAAGTTTGGTAGAACAACAGTTATTTTAATAGTTTTTCTGCATCTTTCTTGGTACTTAAAGGAGTTACAACTACAAAATCTTTTTTTTAATCGAAAACATGATAAATACTGAATATAGAGTCAGCAGAGTTAGAACGGATCCTTCCCTTTAATTCTAGAAATAAAACCCTCTACACACAGTTCTCAGCAACCTGTAAAGCTAAATCATCTGATCTGAAAACTTAGCACTGTCTAGGATTGCATGTCATAACACTCCCTAATGTTACCACCAAAAACAGATTTCAGTCCAAATATAAATACCTGTGGTGTAAATGTATCCACACTGCATTGAAGTATATTTAGAAATCTGTGTGCGTGTGTGTTTCTGGAAGTCCTTAATTAAAACCCAACCGTCC